TAGTTACTCCAAAGAACTGAACTTCCATATTGTTACGTTCACTTTGGGCCAACGTGACAAGATTACCTTAGATAAGCACACGGTAAGCTCAGGCAAAGTAGAGGTGGGTCGGTGTGAAAATGGGGTTCTTCTATACACACACAAATAAGCCAAAAAGGGAAGGGAACAGTAAAAGTAATCCGGATAGGCGCCACTTAGTCTTTGAGAAATCTAGAGAGAGAGAAGAATACGAAAGGGATGAACAAGGCAAACCAAGAAATCCTTGTTCTCGTCTTACTAAACTCAAAGGAATACACAATTATGGGGAAAACAAACAGTATTTGATGTCATAAATGCGGGTACACAACTCGTTAGTACCAACAACCAAAATGTAATCAAACGTTAACAGAGAAAAACGACGAAAATAACTAAATTTACCTTGAACTCCGGTCGCAACCTTCCGAGCTCAGAGGACGCGAAACTGCAAATCTGAAACAGTCAGACACAAAAACAAAAAAATATAAGAAGGGTAATGATTCGCGTTGCACAATATATCGCATAAGCAATGGTTAACGTAAGACACGAATGGTTATTCTTATACGTAGAATTGCAATCAATACTAAAATGAATCAAAAATTCAAATGACTTTACAACAAAACAAAATTTGGTTCGACTAAGGGTTGGTTTTCAGAATCGGTATGAGATATCAAAAAGTGACATGAAGTTTTAAGAGAAAAATACTATAAAATGTACAAATAACTGAATCTATCTTCAATGACAAAGCAATCTTATCAATTCAAATGAAAACAAACTTACACGAGCAAGTTTTTCAAAGTAAAATACATAACGTTAATTAAAAATTTACACAGTACCAACTCCACACGTCTCGTTAATTAAGTACTTGCGTTTCGGAAGAATGAATCGTAGGTCAACGAACTTCGTAAAATTGAGTCATCAGTTCAAATATCGGTTTCACATGAAATGGCGGTAATTCTTCAGTCAATTCTTCAGTCGGTAAGGTAGAAATATGTAGAGCGTTTTTGATTGAAATGGCGTCGAAACTTCAATGGAATTCTATTGCACCATATGGAAAATCGGGTATTTGCGTTTCCACGTCAAAATATCAATGTACAGTCAGGAAGCAATTGGTAAAACCAAAATAATAAGTAAGAAAACTTAGGGAGTACGAAAGTAGCCTAAAATAGATTATTTAAAATAAAAAGATAATGCGTCATAGATAACATACCGCAAAACGGCCTTAAACTTGTAAGATAAATCCGCAGCAATGCGTCATCAGCGAAATTGGAAGTAAGATGATAAGAGAAAACTTCACTAATCTTAATACAACACCACTATTTAATCCCATAAAGGTAAACAAATATGTAAAGTAAGTGTAATGGCGTGTAGCTCAAATACAAGTCAAGATCGAATCGAGTTCTTCAACAAGGACTGCGCGCGTCGACAGTGAGTGGGAGAAGATAACCGCGCCAATCAACAGAAAACTAGACAAAAGGTTTTTTTAAAAGAAAACTATATCGCAAATAAAGGATCGGGTTATAATGTGAACACCTAGATGGCGTAAGGATTGCTATATAAAGGTAAGAGTTCGCATAATGTTATTCGAGAAGGATTCCACATAGTAATTCAAATGTAATCCAAAGAAAAGATTACACGGTAAAGAAAATAACGTCACAATATCATCCAACCATTAGGCAAACTTCCTACTGTATTCCAATCAGAGTTGGCAGGACTAACGCTCACTGCAAGAAAAGTTCTTAAGCATAACTATCAGAATAAGAACAGAAGAGCTACCTTGCAGGTACTTGGTCACTGTAAAATTACCTTTAGGTTGGTTTCAGAATGTGACCATGCACTAGAGCAAGTAGCAAGCAGCAACACCCTTGAGCTCGTATGTGTCAAAGGGAATGCTGGAAGGTAATGAGAAAGCCGATGAATTAGCCCGACTGGCCTCAAAACAGGGATTTTATGGTCCAGAGCCGTTTCTTCCATTTACAGTACAACTTGATAACTCAAAAGGAACCCAACCCCAGTACAGGGCTAGATGTAACATGATGTTATATTGTCGCCATGCGAGAGAAGCCTTGAAAAGACCATTTTGCACAGGGTCATCAAGCAAGAACTCGAGGTTACTCGTGGTTTTTTGGTTGATGCAATTAAAGGTTTGCCTATGACATTTTTCTATACTGGTGTAACCACCAAGATACTGCCTAAGGTTAAATGTACTGGCACCTACAGTAATAATTTCTCTTCTGCTCAATTTGATTTTGTGAGCTACGCTCAAAACATCTACTTTGAGCTACCCAGCCTTGGTATTTTATATTTGTGCCAGCAGCGCTTTCGTTTGCAACGTCCTGTAAGCCGTAAGAACTCAGTTTTAAACCGAGAGCCAGACATCCTCTATCTGGAGGTATCCGAACCGGAGGATCATCACCCTAGTGGACTTGGCGCAGTTTGAGCAACAGACGGTAGTTTGATAGATTGTGAGTTATAAGTTATAACTTAATTTACTCTAAAAAGTAGATAAAGTACCTAAAAAGTACGACTTTTTCGCCGTAAATGTAGTTAATTTTGCCCCACTTCATTTATTCTGGCGTAGCCTAAAATCAATTGTTATAAGGCATGTACCACTGTTGATTATTATAAAGAAGGGAAATTTCTTTTCAGGCTTGCCAAAAGCTTGTAAGTTGTGTGCAGATCTTCTGAGTCCTAAAGTTTCAAGAATGTCTACAGTTAAGCATCCTGATGGTGTTCCATGACTGTGATTGTAGAGAGTGGATCGAGTTGGGGGTAAGTTAATAAAAGATTGGGTATATCCGTTTTTATACTGTAGGTTTTTATTGATTTCGGGCATCAGTTACTGGACACTCCAGAGGAATTGATGTTGAGCTCGGCGAAAACATGATTCTACAAGTTCACCCTCATCCAATAATTTTTTGTTGTTGCCAAATTGGGTCAAAGCTTCCCGAATGTAAGTTTCCAGTAATACTTTCTGGAAAGACAATCTGTAAATCAACTATCAACTTTGGAAGAAGTTGGGGCCCTTACAGGGCGGTTCCTTAATAGCCCGATGCCAATATATATAAAATGATGAAAAATGCAAACTGCTAGATTACCGAGTGGTAACCCACCCCCCTATATTGAGGGAGTCTCAACAAATACTACGAGGGTAGGCTCCCTTAGAGATTCAATCAATTAAAACTGACACATTACAAGACATTATTAAACGGCAGAGCAAAGCGATGCAAGCTTTATAGGGGAGTCGATGGTGTCCGTCTGACCGTCTGTCCTTGAACACGATAACTGCCAAACGCTTGGACCGATTTGATTCAAACTTTGTACAGTTGACCTATATGCCATGTGTAGTAAGTCTAATAGAAAATGGGTCAAATTCAATTACCCTTTGGGGTCACGCTTCTCTGTCCCTGCCAAACGCTTGAACCTATTAGGTTGAAACTTTGCACAGTAGACTTATATGCCACATGTAACAAGTCTTTTGAAAATGTGTCAAATCCAATGACCGCGTAGGGTCACGCCTCTCTGTCTCTGGCAAAAGCTTGAACCTATTCGGTTCAAACTTTGCACAGTTAACATATACAGTGACGTTCATATAGAAGTAGACATAGGGATTTCCTATAGGAATTTCCTGTCTACTTTCAAATGATAAAAAGTCTTTTGAAAAACGCCTAATTTTATGCAACCAAAATAACTTCTTCAAACAAATAAAGATCTGGCTGTTATATTAATTATTAATTTGAATATTGTTGCTTTAGCTTCACAGAAAATATATCTCTTAAGCTCTTTTAACTGTTACCGGCACTATACCAATTGGAAATATCAACTTTTCCTTTAGTTGAATACATCGCACACGAGCGAAAATTAGAATACGGAAGTCAAAGCGATAATATTCAAATTAATTAATATGACGGGCAGATCTTCATTTGTTGTAGATAGTTATTTTGGTTGCATAAAGTTAGGCGTCCTTTAGAAGACTTTTTATCATGTAAAAGTAGACATAGGAAATTTCTATAGGAAATCCTTGTCTATTTCTACATGAATATCACCACATGTAGCAAGCCAATTGAAAATGGGTCAAATACAATGACCCCGTAAGGTTACACCGAGAGGTGCTCTGCCTTAGTCTGACGCTTTTTTAGATACTCTTTATTTAGCTTGAGCTAAAAATGAATTGGTAAGGTCATGCAATATTTAAACGAAAAAGATACAGAAGAAGAGGTTATCTGATATTATTGATCCTACCAAAAGTTGCCTGGTTGTATAACGCCGAAACCAAAAAAATGATGTTTGAATTTTGTAATTACCGGGCCATTTACATAACTTGTGAAAAGTTTCCAGCCGAACCCTACCTTAATAGGTAACTTTGACGTATCAATTGCTTGTACGCTTAATTTAATTTTAAATTAACCTTACCTTTAGTCAAGCTTTTACTAAACTTGTATTTCCACAACAAGGTACTACAGTTGCATAAGGCGGATGCTAAATTAAAACTGCAAACAAAATTAATTCTCGTCTTTCAAATCGACAAACCACAAAAAACAGAAGGATCAAATTAAGTTTCCAGGAACGTCTTCGCTGTAATGAAATCAAATTTTGACGTCATATATAGGTAGAGTATCGAAATATTATAAAAAGCTAACGAACTCTGTTAAAAGTTGATTTAAGGGCGTTTTTTATCAATCACATCCATCTAGTTCCAGGTCATTAGCTCGGAGTTCAATACTTCCTTTAGGTTGATTTATACGACGTAATTTTGAAGAAAATTAACTTTGTTTCATAATTTATTGTCACCTTCCTAATTCTGAAGTGCCACCAACCGGCCTACCCTTTTCGCGGAAATACCTTCAATCGCAGCGTAATTTAAAATAAAATTCCCATACATTAAATGACATTACTACAAAACACCCACATGGCACAATGACGTTTGCGCACCCTGCAACCACCCTATATAAGTTGATCCGTAGGAGCGTAATTGTAGAAGTCAACACCGCGAGAACTAAAACGTTTTTCTCCAAGTGTTTTAAGTGCGCACCTTACCGCCGCGGGATCGCGTATATGAACACGAAAAAATCGAGCTGGATTTTTTAACTGCAACCGAAATAAAGGTAAGGGTAATTTCCCATTTTGCACGCTGAACTTTTCTTAAATCCGAAATGCGGCGAAAAAAGTTCGTAACTGTAAAACTCCAAACAACCTGTTGAATGAAATTCGCACATTCGAGATATAAATCGTTACTTGTTGAGTTCGTTAGAAAAAAATAATCGGATTTCATTTCCGAATATGAAGCTTTTGACAAGATTTGGATACGAATTATAGCGCCGAGCGAATTTAATTTAAACACAAATAGCGCTAGAAGGGATGCAAATTTAGATGTCGTTTCGTATAGTCTTCCAAATGAAGATAGCGTATCATTGTCGTTGCGTTTATCGAGCATACATTTCGCGAACAATGGGAGGGTATTTCAGGAATAATTTTGAGACGTGGCTGAAATATCAATATAGTTTACTTACGCTAATCTACATTTTAAGTAGTGCACTGGGGTCATAAACTCCAGCAGATTGAATGGGATGGATCAGATGAGTGTTGTTAACGTATTACAATAAAAATCGAATTTCAACTAGAAGCAGGTACTTACTACCTATATGATATTGGTGTTGATATTTGGCATTTGATATTCGTGATGAAGTACTGAAAAATTGAGAATCACTACGATTTTTTAATATTCATTTAGATGACAATTTGTTGATGGACAGGTGTCTGAGCATAAAAAATTGCCCTCTAACTGTAATTTAATAATGGGCCCACAGGAATAAAATAATTTGCAAATGGGTAAAATTTTCAAGCGCGAATCACGCGAAGAAAGTTAATCCGTCGGAGCTCAAAATTGAGCGAATGTTATTTGGCCTTAGTCTAAACGAAAGGGAATTCGACACTTTTACTTGTGCGAGATTGAATTGCATCGTTAGATGTGAACGTGACTCGTATTGTACTAGATGAGGAAACTGGCTTCTCTCTAAAAACTTTTGAATTAGTGTTACCAGAAACGTCAACACCGAAATAGCCACCGTAAGTTAACATTTGTCTCCTTAAGTAAGTAATGTTCCCATTAAAAAATTTCACTCAGAGGCTGTCGTATAGAATCTATACGTCTATACATCTATACTATAGACTACAGTATCGAAACGATCCACAAGAGTTACGTTATCAGCCATTAACAAAGACAAACCTGAACATTTTTTGCTATCTCAATACAATATATTATTTTCAAATTATAACATACTCTACTCGTGCGATTAAAATACCACCCGCTCCCCAAATGCTTTAGAAACGTTTCGTACACGTGCGGCATACGCTTTTTTATTATTTATTTTATACATTTAATAAATAATTCCGCAGGGTTTAGGTGGACAAAACGCGTTAGGGGGTCGATTTTTTAAAACCGACCGTTTCTGTAAACGCGCTTATTTGCGTGTACGTACTCAGTTGTCGAAGACTATCACTTTTCGACCAATTAGCTCGCAGCTATTTCCTACCAATTCATGTAAATGCAATGCACAAAAAAATGCATAAAGTTATTGACGCACGAAAGTAATGCAACTCTTGTTGCAGTAGTAAGTAAAAAGAATTTATGAACTATTTGCAATAAACAGGAAAATCCCAAAGAAAGCCTTCCCAAAGACAACACGAACCTTACAGAATTTTTGGACTGTGCTTACAAAACATTTAAAAATCAAAATGATATCCACGTCGATTATTGTACAAAAAGTAGAACTGCTTGCAGAGACACTTCGATGCAAGCGTTGTCAGCATCGCTATTCTATGAAGCAGCAAAATTTGTCAATATCTTCTCCCCTTTTTCTATGCTCTAGTGTTAATATTGTTTTACTTGAGCAATTCAGTTCATTCCGTTAGATATAGAATCAAAATTAATATTTGGGTAAAGTGTCTTTATTTTATTTAAAACAAGCAGTGCCTGCGAACTTTATACCGCCTTTGGGAAATACCGATTTTGCTTGTACCCCGTTCCCGGTTTTTCCTGTTCCCGTTCCCGTTGGAATTTCGGAAAGTGATTTACTACATCAAAAACCTTCGCGGGCATATGCAATTGATTCGCTTGACCGCCTATTTTTTCGCCTTTCCCCTGAAGTCGACGGTTTCGTAGCAGATTTCGCTTAAGCGCCATCTGTTAGTTATATATTGCGATTTAAAATGACGGAAAAGAGAAAAATTGTTCTTTTCATTATACCTCATTCACAATTTTCGTTTAGAACGGTCACATGCGAAATCGGACCTTTAAAACGCAAGGGCTTTGAAGGTTGTCAAGTAAACTATGACTAATAAAACTGTCATCTGGGGCTGAAATAAAAAATCTTCTTAGGTCGCTTTCAGTAAATTCAAAAGAGTCCTTTGGCTTCTGCGTACCCTTTGTTTGAAGCTTTCACAAACGCATGTAATTTAAGGTATGCTGCCACTGCCGAATCTGTTCCATTTCTGAATCGCAAAATTGTTTGAAGTTCTTAATGAATACAAGGATGTAAGGTTTAAATACATTTGACATTTCATTCATATAAGCCAGCATTATCTATGCATTTAAGACTTTGTTCGTTAGATGCTTCCTATTCATGCACGAAAACAGATTTTCATATGCTTTATAATAGGTTTCACTGGATTTGGATTTTGCACCTTCAAACTTTTCTTCTGTAGTAGTAGTGGTGGATGTAAGAGCAAGATGCTGCTAAACATGTCGGAAAATTTTTTAAAATATTTTCATGTCGAATTTTTCACAGTATTATTTTGCCATTCATTAAGACAAAAAAACAGTCAGCTGCGCCGCAGAGGGCTTTACTTCAACGTATCTCTGGTAAATGGTTGAAAGACCGCTTGAAATTTACAAATCTTATAGTAATCAATAAAGAAAAATGGAAAAATATTCGTCAGCTGTTCGTCCGCTGGGCGAAAAGTAATTTGGGCCACTGAAAATATCGCGCGTCGCGTCGCCGAGATATACAGGGTGAGTTTTTTCCGGTGTTTAGTATGGGGATCTCGTAAATCGTAAGAGATACATAGTCGCTTAAATGGACAAAGAATAGCAGAATTTTATGTAGATTAAGTTTCCTTTTCATATTTGCTTCTAACTGTAGGTACAACTAACGAAGTTATGATAAAAAAAACTAAAAATGTCATTTTCTAAGAATTACTAAGAATGCGAGGTACTGTACTTAACTGTATCTTGTAAGAATAAAAAATTCAGTAATTTTCTAATTCAGATTTCGAATAAAATCTTTTAAAAATTATGCGAATTTTGTCAAGAGAGGGCAGGAGCCCTCCGTATAAACATTTGACTGCGCAGATATCCCTGCCACTATCCTTACCCCACTACAACGGTGAGGTATATATATATATATATATATATACACGAGCGTAGTCAAATGGGTAACTAGATCCCAGATCCTGCAACTATAAACGATCACCCGAGATCCACACCTGCATTCTAAAATTTACCATTGTTCTTTCTACCACCCTTCCAGATTCCGATTCAGCGTATGGTCGAGCACGGTCGCTGCACCAACCCCGCAAATCACAACCCGATTCCATCTGATCGCTTCAGCGTATGGTCGAGTTTATCACCGTCGCTGTAGTCTTTCCGCAACCCCTATCCCTGTACAACGTATGGTTTGAGTTAATCACTGTCGTTGTAGTGTATTCACCCTTACCGTAATTCCTTCCTGTTAGCCCAACGTATGGTCGAGTTGATCACCGTCGTTGAAATTACCATTCTACCAGTACCTCGGCAACCCTGAGAACTCTCTCTCATTCAAATCCCGACCAGAACGTTTACGCTTCACGTAGACTTCCCTTCCTGCACGAGGGAACATAACCTAAAACCTGCCCTGTATAATTTCAATTTAAAGCTTGGGTGAATCATTACCATAGCTCCCAGGCAACACATCATTCATTGTAAATAATCTCATCTCATTTGTAAATAACTTCATCACACTAATTAACCAGATTTCTAGCAACTGCTGTAAACACGAACTTATAAATTAAGATGGACTGCTAATGTTGAATTAACAAATGACACCTACATGGGGGCCGCCATGATGTGCACTTACTTGGCGCGAAATTCAAATCAACTAATAAACAAGCATTAACCTCACGTTTTCTAAATAAATTACTGTGACACATGTCATTTTCCAAGGTTGCAATAGTCTCAAAACTTGAGCACTAGGAAAATTCCCCAAGAAAATAACTAAAATGTGCACATCATGGCGGCGCCCATGCTAGGGCCAGTTCTACCTCTATGCAACTGTTTGATCAGCAGTCCATCTTAATTCGTGTTCGTTCGTGGCTGTAAACCTACAACCTCCATTTGACGGTTGACAGCGCATATCCGGCTGCGTCTACGACAGCGGTGTCCACCAGTCGGAGCGATAGGATTACCGGAGAGGAGTTGAATATAATTACTGCTTTTGTTATTAAATACATAGCAATTATAAATAAACGTTGTCATATCATTGTACTGTACTGTGCCTACGCAACCCGAGTCTACGACTGTCGGCTACCCGAAACCCGCTACGTGCCCAAATCATCCACAATACCAGGGGTAAACGTAGCGGGCGTTACAATCTGAGAACTATCCATCGTAGAGGCTATTTTTAAACTTCTGAAATGGCCGCTAGGGGGCGTAACTGCAATCTGGAATCTAAAAAGTGATGTTTCTGTGAATTCTGCTACATTAACCTAACAAAAAAATGCCCGGTCTTTGAAGTTAACGATAATCTGAACCTTTTTTGTTTGACAATTATTCCTGCATCTCTAAAAATGAAGTAAGGGGGGTATTCAAAGGTTTCCGTAAAGAACACCCTGTATCTTCAAAACGGCTGAGCCGATTTTAACAAACTCGGGTTAATTGAAAATAGTTATTCTTCGGCTACAAATATTATAATATTTGAAGTTTTGCTAGTTCCACATATCGCCGCTTGAGGGCTTTTTTCGACATTCCGACAGAAATGGTTAATTTTCTCAAAAAAATTAAATGCCTTGGCATTTTTTCATGAAAAAGTAGCTAAATGAACCTTCAAGGTATAGACTACCTACTGAAAAA